GAGAGAGAGAGAGAGGGAGGAGAGAGGGAGGAGAGAGAGGGAGGAGAGAGGGAGGAGAGAGGGAGGAGAGAGGGAGGAGAGAGGGAGGAGAGAGGGAGAAGGGGGAGGGAGGAGAGATATTCTTAACCTTGCAGTCTTCTTAGGGCTAAAACTGGGTCACTTAAAATACAGAAACCTTGTAATGAGGTACTTTCACCCTGTTCTTTATGCTGTGTTTGCTGTCTGTTTATGTTAAAGTTTTAAATCTTAGCACACATTGTTAACATGTATGCATTGAACAGTTAGTTACATGTATTTAAAACACACTAAGGAGAAGATGTTGACTTATTTACCCACATACTAACCGTGTGCCATGTTCTTTCCTCTCTGAGGCTCGGTTTTCCATCTGATACCATGGTTTTCTAAAATAACCACCATATTCTTGTTGTAGTCAAGTCTACTAGAGAAAAATTCTCTTGGTATTATCCAATATTTGCATTGTGTTCTGTTCTTGAATAGGTTTATAATTCTGTATTGACCTTTTGTTATTCAAGACATTAAAAATATTTTTGTCTCCTGTCTTACATCTCCTCCAGCATTTCTTCAGTAATTATTCAAATGATTGTTCCTATAGACAAGTATCTTTTTTCCATTGAGCTTTAAGAAGACCTTTCTCTTTCTTTTTGTGATGTAGTCAGTTGTAGTATCTTTGCAAGTTTCTTGATATTGTTCAGCGCCCCTCCCCCCATTTTTTACATAAAGCTTGTGAATGAAAAGTTTGGCCATTTCTTAAAATAATTTTTCTGTGTCTTCTGTCCTTCCTCTCCTCTGATGCTCCAATTAAAGTATATTTTAATGTTGTCCTACATGTCCTTGAGGTTATGGTCATTTTCTTCAATAATTAGACTCATTAGTTTCTGTTGATCTGTCTTCAAGTTCATTGTGCATTTCTTCTTTTGCCTGTATTCTTCTATAAAGCCTGTCCATTGGATTTTTCATTTCATGTTTCTGATTTTCTATTCCAGATTTTCATTTTTTTCCTTTTATAAAGTTGTTTATCTGCACCAAAAGTTCCTGCTTTTTCCTTCATTGTTAACCTAGTATGTCTTATCATAGTTTTAATATCTTCCTTAAAATCCTAGCTTGCAGCCAGACATGGTAGTTTATGCTTGTAAGGCCAGAATTCAGGAGGTAGAAACAGGACATCTCAAGTTCAGGGCTGTCTTGCTAAGCTATATTGTGAGGCTCTGACTCAAAAAAACCAAAGGGTAGGAATGTAGTTCAGTGGCAGAGCACTTGCCGAGTCTGCAGAAGGCCCTGGGTCTGATCGCTGTCACTTCATTAATTAATGAGTTCTTGCTTGCTAATCCAGCCTTTGTAGCATTTTGTGATTGGTCTCTGTTGGTTATATTTTCCCTAGAGAATGAATCACGGTTTCCTTTTTTTGCCATGAGTCCCAGATGCTGTACATGCTTTGTCTGGGAGGTTCTGTTCTGTTGTTTCTAGAATTCTGAAGCATTCGGATTGCTTTTTATCACCCAATAGCATGGACCCACACTGTAAACTTTGGCCTGTGGTAGAGAGCCCCTGGACTTGGTTGGTTAGTTTTGTCTTAGTTCAGTGGTTTTGAGTTGGCCCGTTAGTTACCTCACTCATCGTTCTGGAGTTTAGGCTGAGTTTGTAGAGAATTAATGCCCCTTGACTGATGTTCTTCCTGTTTGCTTACCTCACACTGCAGCTGTCCTCCTCCTCAGGACTCTCTTATTTTTCCAGATAGAATACCTCTGGCTAGTTTATTGGAGTTTCATTTGCTTTATGTATTACAAACTAGAAACTTGCCTCTAGATTAAAAATCCCAAACCCTAAATTTAGCCCCTGCGGTTTCTTTAATCACCAGTAAAGGTTTGTGATCAAGCATGCTTAACATGGACATTTCTGTGGAATTGCATGGAAAATTGTATAAAATAAGTCCCTTGAAGGGTGAAAAATATGTGTAAAAAGACAAAAAACTAAAGACTTAGTAACATAGGTACTTGCCTGTCTGTCATTAAAAGAGTCAAACATTCTGGATACATAAGTTAAACAGAAGAACTTTTTATTGTAATGGGAAAAACCCAACAATACAGCAAGCACAGTTCTTCCTCCCCTTGGGAAATCTCGTTTGTGTTCATTTTCCTCTGGACCTTGCTGCTTGCTGGCTTTAATCTAATCTATGGTGTTGCTTGTGAACTTATAAAACATTCTTTCACACACAATTGACTTGGGATTTCTATCTTTATAATCCAGGCTTCAATGCTGGATTCAAAACCCAATGAACTGGAAGCTCATGGGATATATTGTATTTCTTTTTCTATCTTCAGAATTAAGAAATTCTCCAAAGATTCACCAGGCAGAAGGGTGTCTCTAAAGCAGCCTCATGGCTGGAGAACTTCCAGATGATATGAGTGCTAGAGGCCCTCTGGGCATCAGTGTGAGAGCTCTCACTGGGTGGATAATCATTAATTTGTTGTCTTTCTATAATCTAGGCAGTCACGGAGGAGAAGATTGCCTCTTTGCAGAAGAGAGTGGTGGAGCTAGAGAATGAAAAGGGAGCCTTGCTCCATGGCTCTGTGGAGCTGGAGGAGCTGAAAGCCAAGAATGGTATGTATCAATAAAAACCATGATTCTGTCTTCTTACCCCAGAAGTGTCTCCGCTCTTAGCACTATATCCATGTAGCTCTTCTGACTATACTCAGGATCTCAGGGAGCAGAGCTGGCGGTTGTCAATATAGAAGTAATAGTGTGTACTAAGTGGCTGGGCACAGTCCTGGTGCTTATCTCAGGGTTACATTTTATGATGTCTACTGTAAAATGCTGCAGCATAGTTTATATTCATTTGGGAACCATATCTTCTAGGAAGCATGACCCATATTGGACTTTACTAAGATGTTGAATTTTCTAAAAGGCAAAATGAGGGAGGGAATGAGGTAAGAGAAATCAGTAAGTTAAAGTGGACTCCCTGTTGGCTTTTGCTCATGTTCATGTCCTGCTTAGACTCTTGCTTCTCCTTCCAGTCTGGCTGTTGAGCCCTCAGCCAGGGCACTGTCTTTGGGAATTCAGTCTTCATCCTGGGCTAAGTGCCTTGGGCTCCCATGACATCCTTTATACCTTCACTAATGTATTAGGATGCTCTGTTTATGTATTTATCTTCTTATTGTAAGCCTTCTGAAGACATGGTATGGGATTTTTTTTAAGGGCAGAGGTGTTTTTTGTTTTGTTTTGTTTTGTTTTTTTAGTTTGCTTTACCTAAACTTAGTAATACCTGGCAAATTAACAGCTGCTGAATAAAATGCTGGATTAAGCTGAGTGTATTTAGCATTTCATTCTACTGGTCTTTGTGAACAGTCAGTGAGAATGTAAGACCTACTCTATCCTGTGCTTCCTAAGAACCTTCTCAATTCAGTAGCATCAGCATGTGATGATAATGCGTTCCAGTTCTCATTCACCTACAGCAGTGGTCCCCAACCTTCCTAATGCTGTGACCCTTTAATACAGTTCCTCATGTTGTGGTGATCCCAGCCATAAAATGATTTGTGTTGCAACTTCATAGCTGTGCTTTGCTACTGTTATGAATCATAATATAACTATCTGTGTTTTCCAGTGGTCTTAGGAAACCCCTGTGAAGTGGTCATTCTACCCCCTACAAAGGGGTTGTGACTCACACGTTGAGAACCTCTGCTCTAGAGAATCTGACCACTGTGGTATATCATTTGGGAGTGAGAGTGGACACCAAGTAACCTTTATAAAACTAGATCAGATGTTTCTGTGTAACGATTTATAGTTTTCCATTTAGCTCCTACCTGGAAATTGTGCATAATGCATAAATAATTATTAAAAATATTCCCATCATTGCCAATAAAGCCACAATTCAACTTACTGTTTCACCCACTTAAAGTACTTTTTTGATACTTTATCCTTAAACCTTATTTTACCATGTCAGAAGTAGTCCCTATTCTGTTCACATGCTTTGTAGGTTGTGTTAATTCCATTTTCTGTCCTCAGGGGCCATTGGCCTTAGAGTGTTCTTTACTGGCTTTTGTGTCTGCCATCATAAATTACCTTTGCATTGGCCTCATGTTCTTTTCATCTCACTTTTTGCACTGCCTTTTCTACAGCTACTACCCCTTTCTCTGGGGTTTGAAATGTCTGACCATATTATATGTACTGTCTTGCATTCATTTGTTTCACAAATATTCTCCCTTTCTTATGAGCCAGGCACTATTCTACTTGCTGAGGATACAGCTATGAACATGTTAGAATGAAGGACAGGCCATCAACCTGTATAAAAAAGAACATTTTAGAGTAATAGCTATTAGGGTAAAAATGAAATAGGGTACTGCAAGTATATCTCAGCTAAGAGAAAGGCAGTGTTAGAGAGGTCAGGACAGGTCTGTCCGGGAACTTGACATTTGAATGACTAAAGGCGGGGTAGTCATGCAAAGAACATTTAGTCAGGGAAAAGAATGGAAGAAATGTGATGTGTGAAAGAATTGATGTGTTGGCAGAACAGAAAGAAGCGCTGAGTTTTTGTAGCAGAGTTAAAAAAGTGGTACTACAAGAGGTCGGAGAATAAGTAGGAGCCAAAACATGAGAGAGAGCCCCAAAAGGTCATGTGAAGGCTTTGAGAGGGTGGATAAAAACCATACTTTCTTTCTGTAGTGTATTTAGTGTATCAGAAAGAAGGTAAGCTTCTCAGAGGTCAGTGTGAAATAGCTTTCTCTTCCAAGGCATTGCTACCCTATGTTAGAGTTAAGACCTGGATTCTGATCCCAGCTGTCCATACAGCTGTGTAACCTCTTCATATCATGTCATCTGTTTCCTCATTTGGTTGTTGAGATTGCATAGCTCATGTTTTTAAGTCTGAAAGTCCGTTAAAGAACACTGAGAACATTGTAAGTGCAGTTGTGCAAAAATCCACAATCCAAACAGTAAGAGTGTGGGTAAAATAAGACAGTAGAATCCCAGACTATATCATAGAAGGAACTGTTCCACTTCACATGCCTTTGCGTCTATGGCCTTTCAAAGCTTTCCCTGTTTAGAGTCTTTCTCTCATGGTCATTATCACACTGAGTTCTATTATGTCTGATATCTCACATTCTTTTGGTGCTTTCAGCCTCAAACTACTTTACTTATTTCTTTCCTCTTCATTATTTTGTGCATCTCAAGTATCCTTGGTCCAACTACATCACTGTTTTTTAAATACTCCACATACATTGTCTAAAGATACTACTTTTTGACTTTCAGAAAAATTGTCTTCTCGAATTACTTTTCTGGAGGCTCAGAATAGAGCAGGGGAGGCTGACGGTGCAGTCTGTGAGGTAAGTGATCACTGGTACAGTCACAATGGGACTGAGATTAGGAGGGGGTAACACTAACCATTGTGAGTACTGACAGAAAATATTACCCTTGGAGTGAAATAACATTTAAGAGATTCATAATGATTAGACTTTTTCATTTATTCATTTCCAAATATTTGGAATTCTTTGTCCTAAACAACACAAGTATAGGAGTACTTGTGTATGAGTTACTTTTCTGTTGCTGGAATTCAACACCACGACCGAGACAAATGAAGGTACATAGAGTTTATTTGGGCTTACAGTTCCAGAAGGTAAGAGTTCATCGTGGTGCATGGCAAGCAAGCAGCAGGAGTCGGAAGGAATGTGATCAAATCCTTCGACATAAACTTGAAGCAAAGAGAGAGCCCTAGAAATGGCTCCAGTCTTCTCCCTCTCAAAGCCCGCCTCCAGTGACATACTTCCTCCAACAAGGCCACACCTCCTAGACCTTTCCAGATAGCCTGCCAGCTGGGGACTGCGTTCAATATACGGGAGCCTGGGAAGGACAGTCTCAGTCAAACCACCACAGCTTGTTCTGTCCTCTAGCTTCGCCCATATCCCCATAGCATGTCCCTCTTCCAGTTTTATGTCCTTTATAAGTCAATTAATAAAACTGATATGTGCACTGGTGTGGGGCCACCCATTGTAGCACAGGGAACCTGCCAGTGGGAACGCCCTCAGAAAAGAGTGAATCTCCCTCCCTGAGCAGCCATCGAGTGCTAATAGCTCCTTAGTAAGGGGTGAGGCCTGGAGAGCTCCTGCCCCATTTATGCTGGAATTGTCTCTGGCTTGCTCTTGTGCAGGTGCCCACAGCTGCTCTGAGTTCATGGGTGTGATAGTCTTATCATGTCTGGAGGACAGCATTACATCGCACACACACCCTTCCCCATGGTCCAGCTCTTACATTCTTCCCACCTCTTCTGTGACATTCTCTGGGCCTTAGCAGGGAATGGAGGGTGGCATGATAAAGATGTCCTGTTTAGAGTCTCTTCTGGCTCTTTGACCAACTGAAATTTATTATAAGAGCGGCATCATTGCTTAATATCATTCGATGGATGTGTCATTGTTAGCTGTCTTATATACAATTTGCCATGCTCTCAACTGGTAATCATAAATGGTCTTTGGGAGTGATGTAGCTTCTTAACGGAAGTGCTGCTCATTATGTTAGTCTGTGTCTCCAGGGACAAGGAATGAACACCATATGTAGACCCGAAGAGGCATAGTTTTAGGAATTGGAAAATGAAGAATCTTCCAGTTGGGCTAGAGGCCATCTGACAGAGAAATATTAAAACTTGAGTCCAGATCATCTGCTAGTAGATAATTCACTCTTCCGGGTGGGACAGATTTTCTTGTTCCTGCCAAGGCCTCAAGTGATGGAAAAGGTTCGCCTGAATTAGGAAGGATAATCTGCCTTATTCCGAATGTCCTGATTTATGGCTAGGAGACAGCTCTGTTGGTAAAGCGCTGAGTTTGAGCCCCAGAAGCTCTGAAGACCTGACCATGCTGGCTCAGGCTTGTCATCTCAGCACTGGAGAGACAGAGATAGACACGTCCCTGGGGCTGGACGGCCAGCCATGCTAGCCTGCCTGGGCAGCTCCAAGCCTTCCTCAGAAGACAAGGTGGATTGCTTCTGAGGAACAACACTGAACACTGACATCTGGCTTCTACATGCAGGTGCACATATGGGGTGGCACATGCACACACATGCACATAAATACATACACACGTCTCCTGCTTTAAATGTTGATATCAACCAAAATACCTTCATAGGAACACCTCGAATAACGTTTGCCCAAACATCTGGGAACCATGATCCAGCCAAGTCACCACATAAAATTAACCATCTAGCTTACATCCAACACCTTTTCATGGAGCCATTGAGGCCTTGTTCACAAAGCTGTCAAAGGAGACTTCATTTAGAAAATTGTAATATTATATAGTTAAAATTGTAAGACTCTGACTAAAAATGGATCTTGTTTGTCTAAGGGAATCCTTAAAAGTATTCTCTTAAATGTCTACCAATGATTTCTAGTGGAAACAAGCTATAACATAGCTTTAAGAAACAACAACACAGATAAGAAAGATGGCCACCTAGTGAGAAAATGAGAAACAAAAGAAGCAGAAAATACACAGCAAGCAATGGTAAGGGAAGGGGATTGTAAAACACAGAAACTGCATAGAAAAGCCTGCGGGTACTGTCCCTCGAGATCACAGAGACAACTAGAAAAGAATGAGAGAAGACGTAAGTTCAGTGAAAGAAGGGGAAAGGAGAGCGGGAATGGCCAGACAGAGCCAAGCTCGCTCTCGGGGCTCTGCCTTCTGGTGGGCTGACTTGACTCTGTGTCACAAAGTGAACTGAACTCTGTAGATACTGTAGGGAGTGAGGAAAGAGAATGGAAGGTACTTAGGAAAGAGGAAAGGAAAGCACTCTGGGTAATAGAACGAAAAGCAGTAGGTTACATTAAACCCTGTGGCGGGGATGACTTGACCGTATCAGACTCGCCAAGCCGTAGGGATGGAAACATGAAATGTGACATGAAGAGGTTCTAGAGGAGTTTGCCCTGTGACTAGTACTGAGTCTAGTTTAGAGCTCTCTGAATTGTGGTCTCCATAATGCAGAGAGCAAAGAATTATAAATTATTAAGAAAGTACTTATGAAAATGAGGCGGTTATAGACAGGTACTACCATGCCTGACATTTCCGTGGGTGCTGGGGATCTAAACTGAAGCTTTCATGCTTGCTCAGCAAGAACTTTTTCCAGTGAGCCACGCCCACATTCCCCACGTCCCTTTGTGTGTGCATCTGCATGTGTGTGTGTGCACACGTGCATGCACGCATGTGCCTGTGCTTGTGTATGTGAGGACCAGATGTCAGTGTCCCGTTTCTTCCTTGGTTTCTCTCCATTGTATTTTTGAGGCAGGGTTTCTTACTGAACCTAAACTAATCAAATGCATCGTGGGACTCACTAGTTTCCTTTCCCAAGCAAACGTCTTTAGAGATGACATGAATCAAGCAGCCTAACAGTCATCTATAAAAATTTGTCTCATATTTGCCACACGGCTCCATCATGTCATGCTCAGGTGTCAGCAGAGCTCGTTTTAGGCGTTTTGACTCTGATAACTCATCTGCATCTACTTGTTTGGTAGTCTACTTATCAGTGTTAATGCTTATTTTACTTAACTTTCTTATTGCCGTAAATTGCTTAGGAAACGAAATCTTGTAACTTACTCCTTGGTGTGGGATGGGGTATTTAATTAATTTCCTGCTTTTTAAAAAGCAATTCTTAGAAGAAAGTAACTAAGCCAGGCAGTGGTGGCGCACGCCTTTAATCCCAGCACTCGGGAGGCAGAGGCAGGCTGATCTCTGTGAGTTCGAGGCCAGCCTGGTCTCGAAATGAATTCCAGGAAAGGCGCAAAGCTACACAGAGAAACCCTGTTTCGATTAAAAAAAAAAAAAAAAAAAGAAGAAGAAGAAGAGGAAGAGGAGGAGGAGGAAGAGGAAGAAGAAAGAGAAGAAGAGGAGGAGGAGGAGAAGAAGAAGAAGAAGAAGGAAAGAAGGAAGAAAAGAAAAGAAGAAGAAAGTAACTAGATGTTTTAACCTACAAGAAGACTTTTTTTTTTTTTTTCCAGTATGGAAAATATCTAGAAAATGGATTCCAAGTTTCCTTGGACCCTTTGACTAGAAAGAGACCTTGAAGTGGAGCTGACTGAATCCTACACGTTCAGTTTGGGAGATGCAGAGTTTTACAAATTTTAGTAGTTTTGTAATATAAAAGAAGTTTAGACCAGAAGGTTCACAAATTTTAGAAAATTCATGAAATGCTAGTTTGTAATGGCTTTTTTTTTAATGCTTTGTGAAATATTTGATGAAGGTCTTTCTTGGTGTTTCTTTTGTTTATTTTTAATAGGTCAACACAGCTGGTGTTACCGTGGTCAGCAAGAGCAATTCTTCTACCGAAGAAAGTGGACAAGATGTCCTAGAGAACACATTATCTCAGAAACATAAGGAACTAGCAGTTTTACTAGTGGAAATGAAGGAAGCTCATGACGAAATCGCGTTTCTGAAGTCACAGCTGCAGGGCAAGAGGCCCGATGGGGACCCTGAGGTCCTTGACCAGACGGAGGTGAAGCTGATAGGGCGTGAAGGAGCACCTTCTGTGACAGCGGGAGACATCCCCCTTGTGCCCAATGAAGAGAGCGGCATCCCAGGGGCTGCAAAAGAGGAACCGGCAAGCACCGAAGATCAGCATCCAACATCTGAGGCAGGGTCTGCAAATGACGCCGCAGTGGGATTGAACTCCACAAAGCTGCATGGTGTGGACAAATCCCCCTCTCTCTCAGATGCCTGTCAGTGTCACCAGGATGAACTGGAAAGTCTCAAGTCAAAAATTATGGAGCTTGAGACAAGCCTTCATAAGGCAGAAGAGATGTCTAAGATAAATTTAGATGAGAAAGCTAGGGAAATTAGCAGCCTAACCCAGCTTGTGGAACAACTCAGGAAGAGCGCAGAGGATGCCCACAGCGCGCTCACCACCGTGTCCGAGGAAAGAGACCAGCTTCTTTCTCGGGTGGATGAGCTTAGTGTCTTAGCCGAGCTGAGGGCTCAGGTCCGAGAATTGGAGGGCAGTCTGGCAACAGCAGAAAAGCAAAGAGCCCTGGACTACGAAAGCCAGAAGACTCAGCACAACCTGCTCACGGAACAGATCCACAGCCTGACTATAGAAGCCAAATCAAAAAATGTGAAAATGGAAGCTCTCCAGAGGGAGCTGGATGATGTGCAGCTGCAGTGTTCTGAGCAGGCCACCCAGATCAAGAGCCTGCAGAGCCAGCTGCAGACGAAGGAGACTGAGGTGCTCGAGGGGGCAGAGCACATGAAGGCCATCTCAAAGAAGATGGAAGGGCTTTCACAGGCTCTTTCACAGAAGGAGCTAGAAATAGCCAAAATGGAGAGAGACATGGAGACACTCCAGCAAACCATCCAGGAGAAGGAACAGCAAGTGACAGACCTCAGCTACAGCATGACAGAGAAAATGGTCCAGCTTAATGAAGAGAAGTTTTCTCTTGGGGTTGAAATTAAGACCCTGAAGGAGCAGCTCAATTCGTTGTCCAGAGCTGAGGAAGCAAAGAAGGGGCAGGCCCAAGAAAATCATGGCGTTGTTTCTAGTCCTGGTCAGGCCGTGTCAGGCCCGGCGGGGCTGAGTAAGGAGGAGCTTCAGCGGGAGCTGGAGCTCCTGAAGAAGGAGAGCGATCAGAGGAAGCGGAAGCTCCATGCTGCACTTCTTCACCGAAAGGAACTCCTCCAGAAAGTCAGCACGCTGGAGGAGGCGTTAGCCCAGGCGAGGGAGGAATCGAGCAAAGAGGTGGCACGCGGGGTCGGTGAGAGGACGAAGCTGGAGGAAGACCGAGAGAACAAAGACGGACCGGAAAAATGTGGAGCTTCTAAGTGTCGAGAACTAGAGGCTTCTTTAAAAGAGACGATAGCCGAGAAAGAAGTCGAACTGGAGCGTGTCAGGAGAGATTTGGAAGACAAGACGGCAGCGGGAGAACAACTGCAGGCTGTGGTCCAACAGATGAGTCAGAACTTGCAAGATCAGTCAAAGCAGATAGATTTGCTTCAAGCCGAGATTGTTACAAATGAAGCAACTATCCAGAAACTGACCCCGGGAGCCCCGGATGCTGGGGATGGAGACTCGGCGGCACCTCTAAAAGAACCGGTGGTGAGCGGCCCGCCCAGTGCAGGCGATGGAAAACACTGGAAGCCGGAACTAGAGGGGAAGATAGCAGACCTTGAAAAAGAAAAGGAACAACTTGAAAAGAGGCTATACAAAGCCTTAAGTTCCTATAAGGCAATTCTAAAAAAGGCACAAGAGAGAGAGAGACATTTGAAGGACGAGCTCGGGAAACAGGAGGATGCTAACAATCACCTTCAGGAGCAGCTTACTGAGCAGAGTAAGGAAAATGAGAACATTGGGGGCCAGCTAAGGCAGCTTCAGACTAAAACATCAGAAGAAGTACTCCTGTTACAAAAGGAGATAAATAAACAGGGCTTAGAAATCCAGAATTGGAAAGCAACATCCCATGAAGCCGAGGCCCACGCAGAAAGCCTACAGGAGGAACTGGAAAGGAGCCAAGTACAACTTGCTGGCCTGGAACATCTGAAAACATTACAGCCCAAACTAGATGACCTGCAAGAGCACGTGCGCCAGAAGCAAGAAGAGGTCAGCTACCTTTCCGGACAGCTTGGTGAGAAGGAACAGACCCTCAGCAAAGTCCAGGCCGAGATGGTGGAGCAGGAGCATTTAATCAAGGCTCTGCACACACAGCTGGAGATGCAAGCCAAGGAGCACGAGGAGAGGCTGAAACAGTTCCAGGTGGAGCTGTGTGAGCTGAAGCAGAAGTCGGAGGAGGCTGGCGAAGAGGCCAAAGTAAAGCAACAGATACAGAGGAAACTGCAGGCAGCCCTCATCTCCCGCAAGGAGGCTCTGAAGGAAAACAAGAGTCTGCAAGAGGAACTGTCTTCAGCCAGAGCTGCCGTGGACCACCTGACCAAGTCTCTGGCGGATGTGGAAAGCCAGGTTTCTGTTCAAAAAAAAGAGAAAGAGGCGTTCCTAGGAAAGTTAGCCCTCCTTCAGGAAGAAAGAGACAAGCTCATTGTAGAGATGGACAAGTCTTTGCTCGAAAATCAGAACCTCGGCGGCTCCTGTGAAAGCCTGAAACGAGCTCTGGAGGGCCTTACCGAAGACAGGGAAAAGCTGGTGAGGGACCTGGAGAGCCTGAGATGTTTGAAGATGGCAGAGAGCACCGAGTGGCACGAGAAGCACCAGGAGCTGCAGAAGGAGTATGAAGTTCTCCTGCAGTCCTACGAGAATGTGAGCAACGAGGCCGAGAGGATGCAGCACGTCGTCGAAGGCGTGAGGAAGGAGAAGCAAGAACTGTATGGAAAGCTGAGAGGCATGGAGGCAGGCAAGAGAGAGGCAGAGAAGCGGCTGCAAGACGCCGAACAAGAGATGGAAGAGATGAGAGAAAAGATGAGAAAGTTCGCTAGGTCTAAACAACAGAAGATCCTGGAGCTGGAGGAAGAAAACGAGCGGCTCAGAGCCGAGGCCCAGCCAGTAGAGGGCGCCAGAGAGAGCATGGAAGCTCTTCTCTCTTCCAACTCGAGCCTGAAAGAGGACCTGGAAAAGGTCACTTCTGAGCACAAAACCCTTTCTAAGGAGTTTGAGGCTTTAATGGCAGAGAGAGAGATTTTGAGTGAAGAGATTCGAGGTCTGAAACATCAGGTAGAAGACGGCGTACTGAAACAAGCTAGCCTAGAGGACACTGAGAAATCCGATGAACAAAAGGATGTCACGGAAGAGGTCAAACAAGCTATGGTGGGCAAGTCTCAAGAGCAAGAGTCTCAGAGTGTGCATGTTCAACTTGACGATTCAGAGGGTATTCTGTCAGTGAACAGTGCCGAGCCTGGCATTAGTGAGACTTTCAGCTCCCACGATGACATCAGTAACTACCTCCAGCAACTTGATCAGCTCAAGGGAAGAATTGCTGAGTTAGAGGTGGAGAAACGGAGTGATAGGGAGCTTAGCCAGACACTAGAAAATGAGAAAAATGCCCTCCTGAATCAAATATCGGCAAAGGATGGTGAACTCAAACTACTTGGGGAAGAAGTCACCAAAATAAACATGTTAAATCAGCAAATCCAAGAAGAACTTTCCAGAGTCACCAAGCTGAAAGAGATGGCAGAGGAAGAAAAAGATGACTTAGAAGAGAGGCTCATGAATCAGCTGGCAGAACTTAATGGGAGCATTGGGAATTACTATCAGGATGTTACGGATGCCCAAATAAAAAACGAGCAATTAGAATGTGAAATGCAGAACCTTAAAAAGTGCATGAGTAATTTAAAAAAGGAAAATCAGCAACTGGTCAAGGAAAAAACCAAGGTGGAGTCAGAAATCCGAAAGGAGTACTTAGAGAAGATACAAGGGGCCCAGAAAGAACCTGGCAATAAGATCCATGCGAAGGAGCTCCAGGAGCTGTTGAAGGAAAAGCAGCAGGAGGTAAGGCAGCTGCAGAAGGACTGCATCCGGTACCAGGAGCGAATCAGTGCTCTAGAGAAGACAGTCAAGGCTCTGGAGTTTGTCCAGACAGAATCCCAGAAGGATTTGGACGCGACCAAAGGAAATCTGGCGCAAGCCGTTGAGCACCACCGAACGGCACAAGCGGAGTTATCCAGCATCAAAGTGCTGCTCGATGACACACAGAGCGAAGCCGCGCGAGTGCTGGCGGACAACCTCAAACTGAAAAAGGAGCTTCAGTCCAACAAAGAAGCCGTGAAAAGCCAGATGAAACAAAAAGATGACGAGCTGGCGCGAAGACTGGAGCAGGCCGAGGAAAGACACCTGGAAGAGAAGAAGAGCATGCAGGAGAAACTGGATGCTTTGCACGGGGAAAAGGCCCACGTGGAAGAGATGCTTGTAGAGATGCAGGCCACGCTGTCCAGGAAAGACCAGGACATGAAGCAGCTGCAGGAAGGCCTGGACAGCACCGTGGCCCAGCTCGCGGCCTTTACTAAGAGCATGTCCTCCCTCCAGGATGACCGCGACAGGGTGATCGATGAAGCCAAAAAATGGGAACGCAAGTTTGGTGATGCCATTCTCACCAAGGAAGAAGAGATCAGACTCAAAGAGGAGAACTGCATTACTCTAAAGGACCAGCTTCAACAAATGACCATCCATACAGAGGAACTGAAGATCAATATCTCCAGGTGAGCAGGAAACCATTTTCCCTCCAGAGAGAATTGTGAAGGCAAAGAAAGTCTCTAAATTGTTTTTATTTATTTTATTAGAATTACAGAGCCGGTTTTTGTTTTAAATTCCCTTATAATGTACATCTCTTTACCTTCTGGCATTTTTTTTTTTTTGCCATTTTTGTAACTTGTTATAATTTGTATTATCATAAAACCACTGGTGTATTTTTCCCCCATATCTCTGTTGAGAAATGGCCTCAGTTTCTCTTCATTTTTGTGTCTGGATTTTTTGACAACCCGACTACCTTTACCTAGATTTTCACCAGCTTGCTCCCAAAGGATAGCTTTGGTGTCCTAAGTGGTCTGCTCTCCGCCTCTCTGCTCTGTATGGGGCTAACAATTCCGTCCTCACACTCTTGAACATCACCGTCCAAGCTCAGGAAGCGACAGCGCCCCCACCCTTACTGTGTCTCCCCTTTTGTTTCTTTACTGTGTCTTTTGCCAGGATTATGGCTTTAAAGAAACCCACCATTAGCTTGTCTGGAGCAAGGTAGAATAAAACAATGGGGGCTGGGCTGATTTACTGTTCAGTGTCTCAAACGGATTACTAAAATAAGGAACACAGTTTCATGATTCAGAGCTCTGAGATGCGGTTGTATGTCATTTTCCTCTGTGGTGGATCTTGTTAGTATACGTGTACAGATGCAGAGAACTAAGCTCTCTATTAAAACCTTCAATGACTGTTGACTGATTTGTAGATCAGTTAGGTGTACGTCATATAGGTAATCTCTCCTTCTCTCCCCCTTTTCTTCCCCGCCCCTAACCCCTAGGCTTGAACATGATAAAGAAATGTGGGAGTCCAAGGCCCAGACAGAGCTCCAGGATCAACAGAAATTTTGTGATACCCTGCAGAGGGACAACAAAAACCTTATGTCCCAATTAGAAGAGACTCGGCAGCTGTACCACAATTCTTTGAATGAATTAGCTAAGCTGGAGTCAGAACTTAAACATCTCAACGACAAGTCAACTGACTTAAATAGCTCTCTAGAAAAATGTAGAGAACATAAAGAAAATTTGGAAGGGATCATAAAGCAGCAAGAAGCTGATATCCAGAATTGTAAGTTCAGTTATGAACAACTCGAGACTGATCTAAAGGCCTCCAGAGAGCTGACCAGAAGGTTGGATGATGAAATCAAGACCAAGGAGCAGAAGATTATAAGCCTGCTTTCCAGCAAGGATGAGGCGATCCAAGTCGCTGTTGCTGAACTGCAGCAGCAGCACCAGAAAGAGATCAAGGAATTAGAAAACCTCTTGTCCCAGGAGGAAGAGGAGAATGTTGCCTTAGAAGAAGAAAACAAGAAGGCTATTGAGAAAACCAATCAACTTATGGAAACTCTGGGAAACGTGAAAAAAGAGAACCTTGACCAGAAGGCACACCTCGATTCTTTTATTAAATCTATGTCCTCTCTTCAGAATGACCGAGACCGTATACTAAGTGACTATCAGCAGCTGGAAGATCGACATCTTTCTGTCATCTTAGAAAAAGACCAACTCATCCAAGATGCTGCTGCTGAGAATAATAAATTGAAGGAAGAGATTCGAGGGTTGAGGAGTCATCTGGATGACCTCAATTCCGAGAATGCCAAGCTGGATGCTGAGCTGATCCAGTATAGGCAAGACCTGAATGAAGTGATATCCATAAAGGACTGTCAGCAGAAGCAACTCCTTGAGGCTCAACTCCAGAAAAATCAGGAGTTGAAAAATGAATGTACAAAATTGGAAGAGAAGCTGAAGGGGTCAGAAGAAGCCAGGCAAATCCTGCAGAGGTCCTCTGAAGCCCTCCAAGAGGAGAAACGTGCTTTGTCTACAGAGGTTGAAGGCTTGAAGAGACACGTGGCGGCCTTGCAGGAAGAAGGGACCCTCGGTGCCCAGCTGAAAGTGAAAGAGGAGGAGGTTCAGAGGTTAAATGTGGCGCTCTCCTCCTACCAGAAGAGAACTGCAGACCTGGAGGAGGAGCTCATTTGTGTCCAGAAGGAAGCGACCCAGAAGGTCAGTGAGATCGAGGACAAGCTGAAGAAGGAACTGAAGCATCTCCATCATGATGCAGGGATCATGCGAAATGAAACAGAAACAGCAGAAGAGAGGGTGGCAGAGCTGGCCAGGGACCTGGTCGAGATGGAGCAGAAGCTACTCACGGTAACCAAAGAGAATCAAGATCTCACGGCCCAGATTCAGTCTTTCAGAGGGTCAATGAGTTCCTTGCAGGACAGCAGAGATCATGCCACCGAGGAGCTTGGTGATCTGAAAAAGAAGTATGATGCCAGTCTGAAGGAGCTGGCCCAGCTAAAAGAGCAAACGGACTTAAGCAGAGAGAGTGACATTCTTCCCCAGGCTGCCTTGCCCCTAACCACCACGGAGAACAGCCTGCCCCGCCTTGAGAAACTTGACCAGCAGCTCATATCCAAAGACCAACAGTTACTTAGTTTATCTTCCCAACTAGAAGAGTCTCACAACAAGATGCAGACCTTTTCCAAGGCTATGACAAGTTTACAGCATGAGAGAGATCACCTGTGGAATGAGCTGGAGAAATTCCGGAAGTCGGAGGAAGGGAAGCAGAGGGCTGTAGCTCCTTCACCTGCCTCCAGCCCAGCTGAAATGCAGAGCTTGAAAAAAGCTATGTCTTCTCTCCAGAATGACAGAGATCGATTAGTGAGTGTGTGTTTCAGATCTGTGTTTGAGAGGTTTTGAGCCATTCTTTACATTGATTTTTATCTCCCTAGAAAAGGATAAATTCAAAAAAAAAATTTGCTGGGCGGTGGTGGCTCACGCCATTAATCCCAGCACTCGGGAGGCAGAGGCAGGCAGATCTCTGTGAGTTCGAGGCCAGCCTGGGCTACAAAGTGAGCTCCAGGAAAGGCGCAAAGCTACACAGAGAAACCCTGTCTCGAAAAACCAAAACCAAAACCAAAACCAAAAAAAAAAAAAAAAAAGAAAAGGATAAATGTTTCTATCTGTAGAATCTGTGTATAAAGTCACCATCATTGCTGCCTATTTCCTAGAGTGCTTGGGTCTTAAGAGAAACAGACATGCTGTTGCCGTTAAGAGAAACAGACATGCTGTTGCCGTTAAGAGAAACAGACATGTTATGTTGTTGCCGTTTCCAAACTTGACTTTTCTTTGCACAGCATCTGCATTGGTTATAAAAGGATTAAAAGGTAGCATTCTGTAAGTGGCTCCAGCATTTCAAGCAGGTTGATTGGAAGAAAATCACTCGGTGTCTTTTCACAATGGTGGTTGAGCACTTGATCGTCCACTGGATCAGGGCAGTAAGAACTTAGCTCGTCTTAGAAGTGTTGCTCAAACCTAATTTGTCAAGAAAGAAGTTATATGTAAAAGAGATTTTATAAGACTTTTTAAGGTTAGTGGCTGGCTTTGTCCTCTGATCCCCAGGAAAGCTTTATTGGGGTACACAGTGTATCACCACAAGATTTTTTAAAGTGAGTGTCGCTAGGCATGGCAGCACATGTCTAAAACTCTAGCACTCGGGAGGCTGTTGTGAGTTCAAGACGAGCCTGGACTATGTAGCTCATTTCAGGCCAGGCTGGGCTATGTAGTAAGACTGTCTCAAAACCATTTTTTAAAATCACTATTCAGTCATTGGTTGTTTGCAAATGAACTATTGTCCATTCCTTTCTTCCTATCTTTCTTTTCCTTTCCACTACTGCAATGTATTCCAAGGCTCCTACATGCTAGGCAAGTCCTTTACCACTGAGCTCCATCCCTAGGTTGGGAATTTATTATTATTTTGTTTTATTTATTTTCATTTATTATTTTGAGATAGACTGTTGCTAAGCTACCCATGGAATTCAAGGTCCTTCCTCAGCTGCCTAAGTAGATATGATTGCAGATACATAGCGCCATGCCTGTTTCTGCCCACTTTCTTTCAATTAATTTTTTTCAGAAGTGGAGAAAGGAGGTTAGAGAGAGAGCTTGTCTTGTGCTTGAGTTGGACTCACAGAACCCTTGTTAAAAGAGCAAAGGTGGTGGTCCTTGAGGCTCACTGGCCAGCCAGCCTGGCCTATGCAGACAAGCACCAGGCCAGTGAGGGACTCTGTCTCAAAAACAAACAAAAAAGTGCTTGCTGCCCAAGTATAAGAACCCACACATATGTCTGGATGCTAAACACACCAGGAAAAAAACAAAAAACAAAAAACAAATGTAGCAGCACCTGTGATCCCAGGGCTGCACAGAGATAGGCAGGTCCCTGGACCCCACTGGCTAGCCAGCCAAGCCCAATTGGTGATCTCCAGGGTCAGTGAAAAAGTAACAACAGACCCTGTCTCAAAATATAAAGTGAAGAGAAACAGAGGTAAGCACCTGATGTCAGCCTTTGCCCGCACATGCCTGAGCACCAGCGGTTCTCAGCCTTCCTGTAGCCAGAAGTTTTCCTATCTCCCGCCAGGTCCGCAGCCACTCAGACCCAAGTAGACACACAGGCTTATATTAATTAAAACTGCTTGGCCTACCACTGACTAGCGCTTACACTTAAACTCAGCCCATTTTGGTTAGTCTAGATGTTGCCATGTGTTCCGTGGCTTTACCTGTGTGCCAGTACATGCTGCTCCCTGGACGGCGGACTGGCAACTCCTGACTCTGCCTTCCTCTTCCCAGCATTCTCCTTGTCTGCTTATCCCACCTATACTTCCTGCCTGGCTACTGGCCAGTCAGCGTTTTATTAAACCAGTGTAAAAAAGCATTATCCCACAGCTCCTTCTTAATGCTATGACCCTTTAATACAGTTCCTCATGCTGTGGTGACCCCCAACCATACAGTTATTTCATTGCTACTTCATAACTGTACTTTGCTACTGTTATGAATCATAATATAAATATCTGATATGCAGGATATCTGATATTTGACCCCCAGGTTGAAAACCAGTAACCTACAACATGTACACAAACTCACTTGAAAACACACACACACACACACACACACACACACACACACACACACAAAATTGGATTTAAAAATAAAAAATAAAAAAGCTGTATAGCACCAGAGGAATATACCCAAAGTTATCCTCTGGCACCCAGGCAGAGGCACACGTATACACACATGTGCCTGCACCCTCATGAACATACATATACTTCATACACATTTATGCCTGAAGGCTGTAGTTTATGTCATGCTGGGATTCATTATGTGCTAAGTCACAATCCTGAGTGGTTCCAGCAGATTCTGTTAGCTGTGCTTTCATTCAGAGATTGCTTACTATAAGTTTATGCATTGTCAACACTGGACAGTATTTTGTTCTCTTACCCCACCCCACCCACTTTTGGTCTACTGAATAGTGAAGAGACACGCCTTTTTAAAGAAGCCATATCTCTGTTTCTATAACTTGCAGTGGAACTGTTTCGTAAAACTGTCACTCTGATTTTCCATCACCTAACCATCAAGATACCTGATTCTGTTCTGAATGTCTCAAACAGCTCCCCTCTGACCTTCACCGTCCCGTGATAAGCTTCTTCACCGTCAACAGTGTTAACAATACTGGGTAACCTCTCCAGTAGATGACAAACAGGCTTGTGGATAAATCATTCTCAAGCTCTTGCTTTCTTAGAACTGCCTGCTCAGGAACCTTTAAAAGGCACATGACTGTCTAGAAGAGGCTTAGGACCCCTGCCTGGGTCGGCCACTCAAGACCTCCTGATTTGCCCTCGTCTTTGCAGCCTTTTTACTGGTTCTTATTGTGCAGGTGGCCAGCCCACCTCCTCAGCACACAGCGATCGCAGCGAGGACCTCCTGCCCCCATTACCATCCTGCTGGCTAGAGTGCCTTCCTCACTGCTCTCTTTTGGGGGGTCATTCCAGATCCTAAACTCCCTTCCCACACTTCCCAGTTGCTTGGTTCTGTTTTGCCTCCCTACTTGCCAGGTGCTTGCCATGCCTGCCGAACCGTGTGTCTCGCGTGGCCCGCACACGAGGGCCTCTGCCGCGGGGCATCTCATCTGCTCTCAGCCTTGTCTTTTGTCCCCACGTGATGTTTCTGGTTTTGTCGTCGTCATGTTGTCGTCGCTCTCCCTGTCTTGGTTATTTACTTTATGTGTGTGGACGTTTGCCTGCATGCGTGTCTGTGCACCACATGCATGTGTGGTGTCCTTGGATGTCCTCAGACTGTGGTAACCGTTGTGAACCACCATTCTAGAATTGAACCCAGGTCCTCTGGAAGAGCAGACAGTGCTCCTAACCACTGAGCCATCTCTCCAGCCCCGCTTCTTAATTAGTAAGAAATTCCTTTTTTTCTTTAAATGTATTTTTTTTTCTTGTTTCATGGGTGGATTTTCTAACTTCTCTCCAAGGATGGTGGTGTGTGGCTGTTGCTGTTTCACGTATGTGTACATACTGTGCACGTATGGCATGTGCAGGTGGTTGTGGAGGCCAGAAGAGCGAGCGCATTGGAATTACAGGCAATGTTGAGTTGCCCAGCATGGGACTTGAACTGGGGTCCTCTGGAAGAGCAGCAAGGGCTCTTAACTGCTGAGCCACCTCTCCACCCGCTTTGTTTCTGAGGCAGGGTCTTGTCATATAGTTGAGGCTTGCCTAGAGGGTTCAGTGTAGCCCAGGCTGCCCCCAAACTCACAGTCCTCTCTACCAGTCTCTCAAAGGCCAGGATTGTGTGTGCACCTCCACACCTGCCTGTCCTCTTCTGTGAGTTGTCTTGGTGATTTGTTTTTTATTGCTGCTGTAATGCTCCTGATTGCCAGCATTCTCTCTTGTCCTTCATCACATGCGATTGCCCCTCGCTAATGTATTGAATCACCCTCTGAGCAGTTGCTTTTCATCCCCGATGTTAGCCTTTCTTCAGATGAAGAGCAACCATCGTTTCACCTTCACGTGAGGAGTAGACTCTAAGAAGCTAGTGGAAGGACTCGGTGTGAGGTCACTGCAGCGTGATCTTGTTGAGCTTATGGATAATGGCCCCCAAGTTGGTGTCTTTGGCGCCTCAAGGTCTGGTCAGATTTTTGAGAGATCTTTCATCTCCTCTTAAGAAGGAAATCAACATCTCCAAGCTGAGTAGGGAACTGGCAGGAGCACTCACAGCCGTGCATCACCAATCATTGCTGTTTTGGAGCGGTGCTCTAACTGGCAGGGAGCACTCACAGTGTGCATCACCAATCGCTGCTGTTTGAGTACTCTAACTTGGGCTGGTATTTTCCTGCTTTGAGGACACATTCTTTGCCTTTTCCAGAGAGTAAAGCTCGTTTTTCCGTGCGGATACCAAAGGGTGGAGCTGAGGATTTGGAATGCACTTGCTTCCGAAGCAGCTCTGCTCTAGTCCCCTTTTCTCAGCCCCCGACCCCCTCCAGCCCCATCACCGTTTTCTCCAGAGGAACCTGGGCTGTTCATTCCTGAGCCCATCGAAGGTTCTGCAGAGCAGGCTCTGTTGGTCCGTGGCTTCTCTGCGGCCAGTTGAAGACCCAGCTTTCTCAGATGTGTGAAGTCGGTTGCTGTTAGTCATCTGCTTTCCAGCCTCAAGCATGTGTTGCCGCTGACCTCGGTTGTCTTCCCATTCTCGTGTTTGGTACTTTTTAAAAAGTGGCATTAACGTTTGTGAGTGGGTGAAAGGTGTGTGTGTTTAAGGCTGTTGTCCTCCCCAGGTGTCCTGACATTATTTCTTGACCAGACTTTTAGTGAGTATAGAATGCAGTTTTGCTAAAGGCAAGTCTATCATAATAATCATTAACCTTGTGTGAGATGTATTATTTTCCTTATTTAATTCTCATAGTTGAACGAGGAAAAGTGCTATATTGATCTTCATTTAGTAGGTCAGTGAAATAAAGACTTATATTGTCTCATATCCAAGAAACAGGGTATCCAATTCTAGAGCACCCCAGGGTGCACACCTTCTTTGAGTGGACACCATCTCAGCTCGAGTTAAGGCTGAAGTCCAGCTGGGCTGTGACTTGGTGGTAGAGCACTGGCCTGTGTGCCTGAGTGTGGGGAACAAGGACAAGACAAAGAAGCAGACCGCAGCACCGAAGACCACGCTGCTGGTGTTCGTTTAAGAAACCGAGGAGCATAACAAGGGTGCATGTGTACACGGGAAGCCGCTCTTCACATTGGCCGGTCACAGTAATCTGTGGGTCCTTTTCAGTCTGTCTCGGGTCAGAGTTGGAGCTTCGGGCCTTTGAGGCGGGGTTATGGGGTAGAAGTAGAAGGAATGCTTAGGCCCTGAGGCCTTGATGGCGGCTCCTTGGCCGTCAGTGGACTGTGGGAGGCCGCGCACAGTCTGTGGTGTCCCTGTGGTAGGAGCGACTGGTCAGTACGGGATAAGAAATGAGTCACCCTTTGCTCCCTCTGCTTAAAGCTGCAGGAACTGAAGAATCTGCAGCAGCAGTACTTGCAGATGAACGAAGAGGTCGTGGAGTTACGTCCACTGAAGGCTCAGCTTGAGGAGCATCAAGAGCAGACAAAATCCCTGCAGACGATGAACGAGCAGTTCAGGCAAGAAAAGCTCGCCTGGCAGCATGAGCTGCATCAGCTCAGGTCGGACTGTTCTGCATTTTGACCTTCTTTACTGTCTTAACATTTTACTTTGCAATAGTTGTTGATTTTATAGAAGGCTGCGGAGATAGTGAGAGGACGTTTGTGTGCACTTCGCCTAGTTTCCTCCAGTGAAAGCATCCTATGTGATGTATTACACATCTCACCCAGCTGGTTTGTGCCTAACAAAGAAATGGCTCCACTCTTTACCAAATTCAGGAAGATAAGTAAATCAAATAGCAACAACTAATGTTTATTATTTAATGTTTAACACGTGCCAGGCTTTGTGTTTGATGAGTGATGTGTGAGATCTCATCCAATCCTTAACAATAGTCCTAAGGAATAGCTAGTTTATTCCTACTTTATTGAAGAAACTTGGCAAGAATGGCATTTCCTCAGGTCTCACACCCAGTATGTGCAACAACCAGAATTCTAAGTCCTTCAGAGCCAACCCCGATGCTAATTCTGCATCATGGGCATGACTCTGCTGAAGCACTGCGGTGGTCTCCGATGCCCTGCATGGTCTCACCGTCCTCATTCCATACGTATTTACTCTACACACTGACTCCTGCCATTCTGAACTTCGGTCTCTGCATTCTTCCTGGTGTCTCATGCTGAATTTTCGTGCTGATTTTGAATTATGGCTCCCACTAGGAAACCCAGCTCTTTGCCCAGGTTCCCAGTCCAATGGCAGTTCTTCTGTGAAGATACTTCAACCCCTACCCAGTCACTGCCCTGCTCTCACTGTCTTACTGGGTGTTTCCACTTGTAGAGTAAATTCCACTCTGATCTGTATTAGTTATACTGCATTGCTAATATTGCATAAGAATGTTTTGAATATGGAATTTGTCTTCTTTGCATCATGAGTGTATTCGAGCCATTTTTTTTCATGGTGTAGAATGGAGAAGAATGCCTGGGAACATCATGAGAGAAGGATGAAAGAACACAATATTATGGCCTTCTCAGATAACAATCAGCAGAATCTCCCGAGGCCTTCCTCGCAACCTCAGATCCTCCCCTCACAGCACCAAAGACAGGTGAGAATGTCCATGTGCTTTGCTGCTCAGGGTTCCACTATCCAAAAAGCATCAACCTCCTCGAACTGCCCATCTGCAACTATTAGACAAGCCTCCTCCTGACTTTTTCTGGGGTGGACATGGTTTCTTCTAGAGGGGAGGATTAAGTATGAGCAATCTTAGGAGACAATTCCAGTGATGTTTGTACCCTGGCAGGCGTCCCCAGAGACGTCAGATCCCCTCGATGGGTCACAAAACTTCATTTATGAGACTGAACTTCTCAGGACTCAGCTCAATGACAGCTTAAAGGAAATTCACCAGAAGGAAATAAGAATCGAGCAGCTGAACAGCAAGGTAGGTGTTTCGTGCTAGACTGAAATTCAGTTTCTTTTTTCTCTTCCTGGAGGTAAGATTCAGCACAGGCACCCAGCTTCAGCAGAACTTAGGAACAGAAGTTTATAAGAGTAAGTGTTTATTCCAGAGCAGAGGACATGGGCCACGTTCTCCTTGCCCTTGGCAGGTCTTTGAGAACAACTTGGAAAACCCATACAGAAGCTTCACCCCATCTTATCACTTGTTAGGAATATATAAGCATCTCCCTGTCCATCTCCCATGAGTCATTGTCTTTCTATTGCTCTCTGATTAGTCAAAGTGTTCTCAGTGGCTCCTCCCCAGTCCTGCCCTCTTCACAGAAGCCTAGATTGGTAGTCGCTGCCTGAATTAGAAGTTATTCATGAAGCTAGTGAGACTGGAGTCCAGAGGTCTACCTGGAGAAGAGTTGTAAATACCCCCAAATACATGCATAGTTTGGAGTGGGAGTGCGTGCATCTTATCACAGGAACTCACATAACATGAGCCAGTGAGACTGCTCAGAGGGAGAAAGTACTTTGCCTCGAAATCCTGATGACTTCAGTTTGATCTCTGGATCCCACAGTGGAAAGACAGAATCAACTCCTGAGTGTTTTTTTCTGTCCTCTACATGTGTGGTGTAGAATGAACATGCCTACACTCATGCATGAGTACTACACACACACACACACACACACACACACACACACACACACACACACAAAACTAATAACATTGAGATTCAAAAATCATAAAAATCAGGAGATGGTTTTCCCAGATGAGGAGAAAAGGCCACAAGTACTAAGTGACTTGCTCAAGGCTTCAGTCACTCTGAGGTCAGTGGTTATATATGTGGCCAGTGTGCTTGCCACACTTAGAGATACTCATTAGATGTTAAATTCAACCAACACTGAAATGTCAGAGACTTCCCTGGCTTTGGATCCTAACGAGTTGATGGAAGAGCCAGCCCTGGTTTGGTTTGGTTTGGTTTGGTGGAGAGGGTCTCCTCTGACCTACCTGTTTCCAGAATTGCTGACCTTTGTCACTCTGTGGCTATGAAGACCCAGTGGACACCTTTCGGTCCACTTCAGTTCTTACTCCTCTCCACATACTAGCCTGTGGCTCTGTCTGGCATCTATCCTCCTGTGACAGCGTTTTAAACTAAACAGAACTGTTTATAGATGATGAAATCAGTCACTTTGGTAGATGATACCAGCTAAAAAATGTAAATGTTTTATTGAAGTTAAACATAAAAGTAGGGGCTGGAGAGACGGCTCAGAGGTCAAGAGCATTGACTGCTCTTCAAGAGGTCCAGAGTTCAGTTCCCAGCAACCACATGGTGGCTCACAACCATCTGTAATGAGATCTGGTGCCCTCTTCTTATTATGTATACAGAACACTGTATACATAATAAGTAAAGTAAATCTTAAAAAAATTAAAAAATAAATAAAAGTAACAGATCATCAGCATAGCATGGTACATTTTCACAAAGTAAAGAGATGCGTAAGAAGCAGTCAAGATAAAAACCATAATGTTCCACACCCCGACAAGTCCCTGTTCCTCTTCCGATCACAGCCACTCACCTTAGAACTAAGTGGAATCACTTGAACAGCACCACTATAGGCCTTTGTCACTCTGGTAAGAAACAGTTCTCTGTAGAACTTAGCTGTGAGGAAGGCGCCTCCTCCCTAGCTTCCCTCGTCATAGTAGTAGTGAACAGCTACTGGTTAACAAGTAGCTCTCATTTGCCGCCTGAGAGTCTGGCAATATGGTGGGCACTGAGGACGCACAGGAAACCTGCAGTCATTGGGGTCCCAACCAACTAGGAGAATTGCTTCTGGGGACCTAAGTGAGATGACGATGAGGGCCTGTCATAGGTGTTTCTCTCTACCCCTGTGTGCCCCGGTTCCTTGGCTGGAGGCTCAGGTTTTCTGCACAGTTCTGGCTTAGCTGAATGTTTCTGTGTGGTGTAGGAATATGTTAGAAACTTTAAAACGTGATGGATGGACTAATGTTCCTCTAATTTCAGCAGCTTAAATTCGGTTAGCTTGTGAGGTAGAGCAGAGCGCAGTGACTTAGACGCCTAAGTTGGTTTGTGCATTGCATGCCTTTGTGGTTGCCGCTCCAAAGCAGCAGGGCATAAAAGAGCAGTGCTGTGTTCCAGTGAAACCCCACTGACATTGAGTGGGCAGTGGTCCCTGGATCACGTGCCTGCTCCTAAACTCCAGAAACCTAAACAGATGCAGACACCATCCGAAACGGATCATGGGGGTGGCTTATTAGCCATTGGCTACCTGTCATTTGCTGTTTGGAAGCCTTGCTTTTATCAAGTTTCCTGGGCCTGCCCTCTGTTTCTAGATTTACCAAAGACAAAATGTGAAGGTTCTTTTCAACACTGAGGAGTTTTGTTTTGTTTGTGTGTACTTGTGTTTGGGGTGGCTTGGCCTGTTCATTATGACTAGGAACGTCGTCTTCCTCCTGTGTTAGGAAAGCATTGTGTTACCCCTTACCCTGGAGTTCCTATTGTGCGCAGCTCTCTGCTCTCAAATTAATATTGCTTCTCAAATGTTTACAACCTTTTCTTCAGCAACAGCTCCTGACACCCATGACTTTTCTGCTGGCTCTTAGCTTGGGCAGCATCATAAAGCAGGTGGATCTCAAGACTTAAAGAGACCCATACCTGTGAGCTTTGCTCTGGGAGTTATTGGTGCCATGGCCTTGACAAGTATAAACTTATTCTTTTTTCCATTTGTAAACAAGGATGGAAATCCTTTCTCCACTTCTTTCAAGAAAGACAGTATTTGTCCAAATGTTTCGTGAACTGAACCTTGATCTTCAGAGTTACAACCACACAGAGAGTCATCTGGAGCAATGTTCAGTTACAGATCATGTTTGTAATCATGTGTGCTCTTCTGTGTGCATCAGATGCATTTTCCTGGGGTGTCTCTAGAAAACTGTTTTCTCTAAAACATTGATAAACTTTCCTACACAAACACTTAGAAAAGAATCCTCAAGAGAAGACAAGACTTGCAGCTAGATCTGTCCATTTCCTGTGATACAAGCCTTCCTGTGTTTCTGTGGTGGGGTACTCAGAGGGGACATCTCCATGGCTACTAATGTATCTTGGTATTAATCATAACTAAAGTTTAAAATGACAGCCCACAAATGAAGAATCAGAATTCTGGTTCCAGAGGAGTCAAATCCCAATCAGCTAGTAGACGCTACACCAGGTAAATGTTTTCACTCATTGTAGAAAGAAAGAAAGATTTTCTGGCTCAGAAACCAGTGGCTTAGGTTGCTTTGCCAGGCGGTGGGCACCCTGACACTGAACTTGTGCAGGGACAGATCGGACCACTGCCTGTAACTCGGGAACCAGAGGAAAGATTGGCTTTGAGACTACTATTTCTACTTGTGGGCATCTGATCTCCCACTCCAGTCTCTCCGGTACACATAGACACATGATGACTTATTTCTGCTCTCTCAGAAACATATCCACCCAGTCATACTATTTATTATACACCTTTTTTAAGTGCAAGCTTGTTCTCTGGCTGTATTGAGCTCTGGGCCTTGTTATTTACTAGTAATTCAAGCATGAACCCAATCTACCGCCCTCTGCTTACATTCCTGGACTAGCCTGTTCTACTGGAATGTTTGTTAGGGGTTTCTGCTTAATCATTGTTCAGCTCATAGACCTTGGCACCATTAAAAATAAACCAGTTTCCTGCTACTCTTCCAGAATAATTTTCCTTTTGTGGCTGAAACATTTAGGCATTTTTCCCTTTGAAGAAACGTACTGTGGTGTGATTCTAAGGTAGGTCCTGTGTTACAAATCAGGTCCTGACAGCTCAGGCCAGTTGCCTAAGTGCTGCTTCCGGTGATGTGGTCCTGAGGGCGGTCCTCCCCCTCTCCCTCCTCCCCCTCTCCCTCCTCCAGTTCTCTCAGCTGCTCGAGGAGAAGAATACCCTCGCCATCCAGCTCAGTGACACCAGCCAGAGCCTCCGGGAGAACCAGCACCACTACAGTGAACTCTTCAAACACTGTGCTGTCCTGGAGAAGCAGGTGCAGGAGCTGCAGGCGGTAAGGCCAAGCTGCAGCAAAGAGTGCTCAGTGTGGTAGTGGGGGGCGCTAGGGGCTGTGGACCGATTTCGGTTTGCAGACATGCAGTATCTGAAGAGTTTCCATCACGACCGCTCCCTACGCTGCTGTGTTTTCTAGGGGTCACCAACGGTAGATGTTGCTCCAGGAGCACCGCAAGGAAAGAATCGAACTTGTAAGAAGAGTAATCCTGAGGCCACAAGGGAGCCACAGCCAAGGTAGAGGATCAGGACTTGCCCTCCATCAGGCACTGTGTGCAAAGAAATTGGGTGGTAGACAAGAGAGGGTGATGGGAATGAATATGTATGATAAAGACACATTGTCTATATGTGTGGAGGTGTCATAACGAAACCTATGGTCAGTGTACACTATTTTAAGGAAATTGGGTTGTAATCTTGGTGGAGGTAGAGTTCACCATAGGTACTTAGCGTGCCCTGTTATCTTGACTAGTGTCACAGAAGTGAGGTAAAGACTGAACATAACAATACCTAACAGATGGTGTGTAAGAGTGAACAGGAGTTATAGTAAAAGTGCATACATACAGCGCTACAGACGGAATTGGAACTGTTCCACGGGCTCCCATCTCTCAGTGGGTATTTTCAGCTCTGTTTGCTTCTGTGTTAGTTTCCCTGTTTGGCGAAATGCTTCCAGCCTTGTGAAGATGTATTAGAGGTTGTGTTCTGCATCTAGTTGACGCCCTTTGTTTGCCTTTACCCTCAAGTTTTTCCAAGGCCCAGGAGCAGCTGTGCAGCACCAAGCAAGAAGTGAAGGAGTTAAAGAAGCTGCTGGAAGAAGAACGCGACCAAAGACTGGCCGCTGAAAGCGCACTCTCCCTGGCCGAGGAGCAGATCAGACGGTAAGGTGGGGGGGGCCTTCTGTCCAGTTCTCCACCTTCCTGACCTTGCTCCTGCACATTTCTGCGGCCAGGCTCAGGGTGAGTTAGGATCTTAATCTCCCCTTGACATGGTCCTGGAGTGCCTTGAGAGTCATCACCGAGAAGCACAGTACTTCTGGAGTTTCAAAGGCTTGTGCTGGGATTTCCTTCCTTTGCATCCAGATCCAGCATATTCACAGCTTTTTGTTTTCAGCACCTGTCTAGGTAGCTTTGAGGGTCGGCTCTGTGGAAGCACAGTACAGCATGGCGGAGTGGCCATGCCAAGACTTTCAAGCCTGTTTGTTCATGGCTATTTCTCTGCCACTTATGAAATTGTTCAGATTTCTGAAACCTCGTCTATGGGGAGGTTAACCCCCGTCCGGTGTCATTCATCTGCACCACTTGAGGCAGCTTAGTCAGGATGACTCTGGAGCCTGTGTCTGGACCACATTAACTTAAGGTTAGCCCCTTCCCGCTTTCCTTCTGGCTGAGAGCAGAATGGAGCGCGGGCTGCCTAAGGACGGCCCACGTAGACCAGGGTCAGATTAAGGCATTTCGTCTCTGCTGAAGAAGAGAGTGGCCCACCGAGAAGCAATGTTCCGCTGATGGAGATTCCCTGTGTGGGAAGAAAGATGAAGAGGAAAGGGGCGTGGCCTTCTGCCCACTCCAGGTGAAATGTGTGTCCCTGTAGGCAAATGAATGATGAGACATTCCCTTGCCCTCTTTTCAGAGACCACTGAGTAATGGCAGCTTCTCACAAACGGAGGATTTCCCAAATGAAGTTATAAGCCAATCAGCAGAGGACTGCAGAGGCTGCCAGTCAGCTTCAGTCTAAGTTCAAAGCCAGCCTGGGCCACATAAAAAAAAGGGGGCGGGGGTAGAGAAGGAAGGGGAGAGAGAAATTAGTGAGTTTCTGAATCAAATGTGGAATCGAGGGGGGAAGAACATGAGGCATAAAGACAAACGGGTCTTGGATCCCAGTTCCATTGGTTGTTGGTCATGCTCCCGAGGACAAGGCACTAACCAGGTTCCCAACCGGAAGGGTGACTGGGAAGATTCTCATGCAGCGGACCCGTGTAATATCTTCTTCCTCAACACAGGTTGGAGCAGAGTGAATGGGAATCGGCCCGGACTCCTATCATTGGCGCCTGTGGCTCTCAGGAGACGTCTGTGTTAATAGATATCCCAGACAGCAGCTATCGAAGGGTAAGGGAGGAAGGCCACAGAGAGGACTCTGCTCTGGGACTGGGCTGCAGGGATGGAGGTGGCCAATGTTGTAGGTGTCCAGCCACTGAGGAAACCCTCGCAGGACGCCTCGCTTCTGGGAGGACAGGATGGGCTTGACTTACATGCAGGATTACTGGTGAAGGGAAAGAGCCCTCAGGTGGAGCTTGGACTTCCCCGTTTATTGTTATTGTTACGTTGTTGGTTTCAGACCCGGAGTGGTGTCGGATGGAAGCGGGTTCTGCGTTCACTGTGCCATTCCCGGACCCGAGCGCCGCTGCTTGCAGCCATCTACTTCCTGATGGTTCACGTCATTCTCATCCTGTGTCTCACAGGTTACCTGTGAACTTGACTTCAGAACGTTTCATTCCTTCGCAACTAATCAGAATTCTTAGTTCCATTACAACCTTCCCACCCTGAACCCACCCTTACCTCCTTGGAAAGTTCCTGTAACAACAAAGGCGGCTCTGAGAACAATTTGGAGCTGCAGGCCCGGTGTGTCCTATTTTCTGGATGTGCCAACACAGGGGTCCGGAGACCTTGCGGGAGCATCACCGCTTCTAGCCTCGAGAACTTGAGCTACCACACTGCTGTGCGGGTGTGAGTTATTCCATCTTCAACACCATTGTCACCTGCCTCTGGGAACAGGGCTGAGGCAATGGAAAGAGAAGGCCAAGCACCCGAATCCAGACCTGACAGCAGGATCACGAGTGGCTCCCGCTGTACCTCTCTCTTCTGTCAGCCACCGGTTTTCTCATTATGGACATGATGTATTCCCTTCCTGGGCCGATCATCTGAAGAAGAAAGACTGATGGGCTCATCAGATCTTTGTTCCATGGTGATTAAATTTTAGTCACAACATCCTAAGAACTTTCCTGAACTACTGTAAAATAATAAAAATTATTTTCAGAATGAGTTGTGTCGGCAGAGATGTTATGGACCTGTCTTTGCACTCTATGGAGAGTGAAGGATGGAGGAATGCTTACTGGGACAGAAAGGTGTGAAAATCCTCCCTTCTCACTGGCCAGCATCAGATGGCTGTGAGCATCCTTCTAGCCTCAGCCGCTGGAGCTGAAGGAGGTGAGGTATAGTGAAGACATCCATCCTGAAATTGAGTTAAAGGAGCAGAATCAGGGGGTGTGAAATTCCTGAAGCCTTGTGTATAGTTCTGAGAGAACTCTGGAAAATATTGGGCCACCAGGTATGGTGGCACTTACCTGTAATTCCAGCACTTAGGAGGCTGAGGCAGGAGGATCATAAGATCCAGGTCAATCTTGTCCATATAGTAAGTTCAAGACAGCATGTGCTACATAGCAAGACTGTCTCAAAGGAAACATACACACACACACACACACACACACACACACACACACACACACACACACACACACCAGCAAACAAACAAAGTTTCTTAAGACAGGCCCCCCAACACACACCCAGTGCAGGAGGGGAAGTTTTGTATCTCGTGCAGGTTGGGTAGGTATAATTATGCTTTTATATGATGTTGCTTGGGAAAAGCTAGCTGGCTGTCTCAGTGTACATGTGTATTTTGAACCTGATCTCTTTGGTCTCAAAGCCTTGCTATTCCTGCATGTTACACTCTGCTCCTCAAGGGATGAACATGGGGTATTTGTAAAGGGGAAATGAGTTTTCTTGGTGTCATCTCTGAAGTTCTATGGTTTCTCCAGAGAACTGCATTACTGTATGATGTATTATAATGTCTGCTCTGATAATTCTAATTTTGACATTGGATTAGAATTCCAAATTAGCTAAGATTTCCTCTTTCTACATATTTCTCTAAAGTTGCTTTATCAGAACAAATAAGATGTCCCAAGTCCAGCTTCCATTTGGAAGTGAACTTAGAAGCTTTCTGTTCTGCAGAAACACTCTCTTATGTCATAGACTGGTTTCTCCAGTCCTTCTGGGACCCTCTCAGGGTTCATTATCTCTAAGCCAATCAGGTCAGAACTCCACAGATAACCAAGATGAGGAGAGCCAGGGTCAGATTCAATAAATTCTTAGTAGGATTAATTTTCAACCAGAGATCCTTGGGGCTTTATTTGCCTCATCTTTGTCACTGAGGGCCCCAGGTTGCCGGTGTGTGTGGTGTCCCCCTGGGGGATTATTTGTAAAGCAGCCAGTAAAAGCGAAAGGGTCTCTTTCATTGGTCCAAACAAATCACTTGAAGATAGAAGGGAAGGGCAGCAGATCTTAACAGTGTAGAGTGTGTCAGAGTTCATGTGCACTTCTTGGAGAAGTTCATCTGGAGTCAGACCTCTATCAGTGAGCTCAGGCCCCACAGAGCTTCCCAGCAAGCTAGGGAACTTTGTCCCTCCTTTCCCACGAGTTACCCTTTGGCTAACTCTGTCAGCTCTGTGTGAGCCCCGTCGTAAGTGCTATAGGTAATGAAGAGGTATGTATTACTTACTAAGGCTTGCCCGTCAAAATTCACATGTAGATCACTGTCACACTAAGCCTTTCTTGATTGCTACAGCCTATATCAAACGTTCTGTTTTTGTTCCCCTCCCTGAGACCCGGCCTCTACAACCATGTCGGAGCCCAGGCTACCCCTTAGTCCTGGGATCACAGATGTTTGCTACCACACCTACCTGGCCCGTTGTGAATTCTTTTAGTGTCTTAGATGCAGCTGCCCTATGTAGGACACAGAGCAGTCCTACAGCATTCTTGAACGTGTCTTAACTGTTAGGGATGTGGCTCGGCGGTCATTTTTATAACCATCCTGTGACCTGAAAAAAAAAAAAAAAAGTTTCAAAATACGAGACACAGAATCACTTAACCCTTTTAAGTACCCAGCGCTTAGGGAACCGACTCAAACTCCAGGAAGTAGCTGTGAGGACAGTGTGGCAGGAAATGACAGAAAACCTGAAAACGGAACTGAAGCAGCTGCTCAGTTTCTTGCCCCGAAGCGGCAGCGGCTGGAGGGGGAGCCGGGTGTGGACTTGAAGAGCCAGAGCTTCGAGCTCGCACAAACGGTAATAAAGGTAGGTACTGGGAGCTCTGGGAGACTTGGGGAACACAGGGGCCACGTGGAAGAAAGATCTGCATAGCACTTAGTTCTTGCTGAGGGAGGGCCTTGCTAATAGGTGTTGAACTTCTGATGGCCATAAGGCCTGTGTCGTGGTTGACAATAAGCATCTGAAGATAGGACCAAGGAAATGGCCCGTACTCAGGGAACATGACTGATCAGCCATCTAGGACTGTGGGTCCAGCCAAGTATGCCCTGGGTTCTACTGATGATCTACAAAGCCCACGCTAAGGGATGGCTGCCCCTGAGCATTAAACTAAAAGAGACCCACAGAAGATGAAGACAAAGTGGGCTTTTGTATCGTCTAGCAGGGACACCAAATGCACATGGGAAATGTGAGGGAACGGGAATTAACCACACGTGAACACTGGTGCTGAGCCAAGCGCTTTTAGGGACCAGATGCAAGCTTGATTATTCAGCCAGGGTGACTCTCTGTGTTTGTGGGAACCCCAGAGTGTCAGAAACAGGCAGCTAGGCTAACCTCTTCACTATTTAACATTGAGGAACAAAATCACAGCAACCAATGATTTGTCAAAGTATTTAATATTTGTGAATTGCTTAGTCTAATATCTGGCTAAGTGGTGTATACTGTGTTGCGTGATTGGCTGTGGTCCCACGGGGGCTGTTATATTACTGAGGTGTCTATGGACTATTGATGCCATAAGATGACACTCTCATCAGGCACTGGATGTGCCTGGCATTCACTGTCCTTCACCAGATTATTCTCCAGCCTTCTGCTTCAAGTTGGCAACCTTCTTGACTAGTCATCAACAGTACAAACATATTAAGTTATTTTGATCTTAAAAGTGAGTGTGAGGGGCTGATGGGGGAGATGGGCCGAGGCCTGGGGGGATAGAAGGACAGAGGATGAGACCATTGGACCTCACTGCTTGCTTATTGCTCATGAATATAGTTGACTTCTCCTTTCCAGTTTCCCTCTGTTGCAGGATAGCCTCAAAGCCAGGACATGTCAAACAGAGGCCATAGGGATGTGACTCACAGGTCATCTTTACCTCTTCTAACCCCTATCAGTAGCTATTGCCAAGTAGGGAAGGCATTGTTCTTAGTAGCTTACCAGACTCTTGGCCTGGTTAACCCCCCCACTTCCCCCATTGCCCCATAACACATCTCTAACCCACCTACCTCAGATTTCCCCATGGATGATCTTCTAGGGGTTATCAGAAAATAGGGGAAGAGTGGAGGTTTCCAGGTGAATCTAGAAAGTGGAGACCTAATGGACAGAGCCCTTGGAGCCTAGATGGACAGATCCCTGAGGATGGGTAGTTGAAGAGGGTCTCCTTTAGGAGGAAGTGATGAACACCAGGAAGGCCTCCTGGGGATGGAGGTTCCTTAGAAAGAAGGATGAACATGGACTTGCTAGCCAGTAGGTAGGAGCTGAACCAGGAAATCCCAAAGGGCAGATGGGCATTGTCCCTTGTTACCTCTCTACACCTCTGTTCAGAAGTCCACAGTGTGACTAGACAGTACTTCCTCACGCTCCCTTGGCAAGGCTCAATAAAACACGGGTGTCCAGAGGATGATTGACACCCCATCAAACTAGTCTTCTCCAAAGGGTTGGTAAATTCCACACTGTGTTCCAAAAGAGGGACTTGTTACATGCTGTGTTTGAATATTTATCTTTTTAAATCTAGTTGGACAGTATTTTTAATTGAGTGATAAAACATACAGCATTGGCATTTTCATTCTTAGAAAATTAAGATTCCTGTCATTTAATTGTTTCCCATGCATCAACCAGTGTAGGTATTTCAACCAGTTGTCCCTACTGATGATCTACCGCTGTGCAGTGAGTGACCAGTCTTAGAGTGAATGTGGGACAGTAGTCCATGGACAGGTGACAACTTTTCAATGTAGCTAAGCAGATTATAGACAGGAAGGACACTGGACTCATGTATGTCTTCACAGCTAGAAAGGAAACCATGGAGAAATCTGAGGGAAATGCCACCACAATCCTGTAGTGAGTGTTGTATGACCACTGGTCACTCCTGCATAGCAAACAGTCCCGGCACTTTGACAGAGGTTGTTGACTATTACCTACATCTACATTGACTTCTCTGCAGATGTGGGTGGACTCAAACCATCCTGGTTTATCTTAAATAAATATCTTCTAGTTGAGCAGAAGTTTCCCTAGAACTTCTATCAGCTTCATTTCAGCTCTTGTTTTCTTCTAAGAAGGGCAAGAAACACCCAATTGCTATACAGTTGACTTTGGCATACTTATCATCCTTTCTCTCAATTCTGTTTCCATTCCTAATTATTTCCATCATCCATCACCCTCAGATGTGGAAGTCTGTAGTGGGGCACGATGTATCTGTTTCCGTGGAGACCCAGGGTGATGACTGGGACACAGACCCTGACTTTGTGGTGAGTAAGGAAGTAAGCTTTGCTTGGACAATATGGGGGGCGCATCTCAGCCGCTCTGACCTTTGAGGGGGCTTAGAAAGGACTAGCTGAGATTAGGCTAGTCTTCATGGTGAGACAGATTGGCAGAATCATTAGCTGTCACTATTAAAATGCATAACTGGTGATGAGCATAGAAGGGCACAGATATGAGTGCATTTGATAGTGAAACTGAGGGACCAGGTCACTCTATCCTGAAGTGGAGGATCAGCTGAACCTGGGACTCTTCTGGCTTGTGATCCATGGTTTGAGATGTCATGGGAGACCTACAGAGGGAAGAGTAGACCTACGGTGATTCAGAGTAGGAATGGACATGCCAAGGATCACTAGCTCAATTTTAATTCCCATGTGGGGTTGAGAGAGGATGACTGCAGCTATGAGGGAGAGTAATGCAGGGGACAGAGAGGGTGAGGGTCGGTCGTGAGGCTCCTTGCAACATAGCACATTTCTTGCTGACAGTGTTGCGTGCTGTCTTTTTTAGAATGACATCTCTGAGAAAGAGCAACGGTGGGGAGCCAAGACCATCGAGGGCTCTGGACGCACAGAGCACATCAAGTAGGTGCCGGAAGAACCGGGAGGGGAAGTGTGTCCCATGAAGAGCTGATGGAAAACCTGCAGGCTCCGGGGAACGTGTGGCAAGAAAATAGCCTTGCCTGTGAATCTTTGTGTTTATTTATATAGTCTAGACGCTGTCTCCGTGTGTTTTCACTTAATCTTGCTCATTGTCTGCCTTACTATGTGTCTTTTATATAGGACAGCTCTATCATTCTCCCCCCAGGCTAGTCTGTTGTTTTAACTATCTCCCTTCCTTCATTCAGACAGGAGGTAGTCAGAGAAGTGGCACAAATGCTGAAGTTCTGTCTATCTTTCTGTCTGTCTGTCTATCTATCTATCTATCTATCTATCTATCTATCTATCTATCTATCTATCATCTATCTATCTATCTATCTGTCTAACCATCTATTATCTATCAATCTATCATCTACTATCTATCTAACATCTATCTATCTACTTATCTATCATCTATCAATTATCTATCAAATGCCATTCACCTAACCCTTCTCATAAATATAGAACATGTGCTTAAAGTGGAGGGTGACTTCCAATGGGTTAAGAAGACTTCAGTGCTGGGTGTGGTCTTACACATCTTTAATTCCAGCACTCGGGAGGCAGAGGCAAGCAGATGTCTGTGACTTCAAGGCCAGTCTGGTCTGCATGTGAGTTCCAGGTCGGTCAGGACTACATAATGAGACCCTGTCTCAAAAAGAGAAGGCATCAGTAAAATGTCAAGGGAAAGAGCTCTCCCATCAATGCTGTAGTGAGAACAATATCTGTAGTTGATACAGTGACTTGAGCTACAGATTTGCATTGGACTACTTGATAGAAATTGGTAACCATTAATGTTAATATTAATATAAGGAAATATGACATTTGGAAAAGCTGATGACTAAAACCATTTTAGCAATGATGTTTAGTCTTCAGGACAAAGATCCAACTTCCATTTTGTCTGAAATAAATGTGGCAATGTAGCTCAAGTGGTAAAATTTTTGCCTAGAATGCATGAAGCCCTGTATTTGGTTCCAGCACTAAATAAACTAGGTGGGGAGGCTTATGCTTATAATTTTGGCACTGGAGGGTGGAGGGGGTGGCTGTGGGGGGAGTGATGGATGCAGAAGAATCAGAAGTTCAAGGTCAAGGCTAGCCTGGGTTACACTGTGTGGATTATAACATGTTAGCCGTTGACTCTGCGTTACCAATAATGCACCGGTGTCCCATTAAGGAAAGAAAGAGAATCACTTCCCCTTGTTTAAGGAAGAGAGTCTAGATTTGAATTCTCTACTTCATGCTCTATCTTCTTCCTCGGTTGGTCTGCTGTATGTGTCTCAGTCTCTTAGACTGGCGGAAGGCTGAATTGTGAGTCTGTGTGTCCCTGCATCTGTGTGCCTATCTGTCTTGTATGTGGCTGCTCTGTGACTGTGTGCCTGGTGTCTGAATCTCCCTGCCAAAAGGCTCTGCTCTGTCTTTATTGAACTGCATGGAAAGCTTCACTTGCGGGGCAGGAGTAAGAAATACTTAACAAAAATCTTCAACAGAGTTGAACAAGGGATCAAGTCACTGGCTCCAACTGACCCAGATAACAAATATCACTGGTTATCAACCAGTACCCATAAATGGAGGCTTTCAAGCTTTAGGGTAGATTTTAGGAAGTTGCTCTCAACTTCTGTATTTGCTGCTTTCAGCAAATGATACACAGGCGTTCCTCTGGGTCAGGGGCAGGGAAGAGGACATAACTTAAAGTTGCAGCTGTGCATTAGCTAAGGTTGGGAGAATTGATCACAGGACAAGTAAGTTTGGTTGTTACATTGTTCTCTTAAAGTCAGGCGTAACAGGCTAGCAGTCTTAAGTGGTAAGTGATTTCAAGGCATATTGTTCACTTTGGCTTCGAGGGCCAGCAAAAGCTTCAGTCTCTTAGGATGTAAGAGATATTTTTAGACTATCATATCACCACAATACATGAGCACACCTAGGGTTTTCTGTGGAATAGTGTACTTGGCAACCAAGAGATACTCATCTCTCTTCCACGGACTAGACAGGACCATCTAATCAGGACTGCTGGCTATGGAAAGCCCCAGACGGCTGTATTTTAGTAGCAAAGTAAACACAATGAGTAAGATTGAAAGTTGGAAAGTAATGAATCAACATTACTCCTAAATTTGGCAAGTTAAGGCAATTTTCAGTTCTATTCCCAACTCCTCCTTCCACACTCTAACAATATTTTGACCTCATTTTCCCCTAGATTTTAAAAGGTGTCAGTGATGACCACATTGCAACAGCCATAGTCTTAGGAGACTTGGCACATGTTTGTGCAGATCTGGAATATTACTGAACACCATTCAGACTTAAATGGTTTGACTTACATAGCTATACTAAATATTATTCTTTTAAATTTTTATTTATTTTTATGTGTATGGGTCTTTTGTCAGTATGTATGTCTGTGTACCACGTGTGGGTCTGGTGCCTGTGGAATCCAGAAGAGGATGTTGGATCCTCTGGAACTGGAGTTACAGATGGTTGTGAGCTGCCATGTGGGTGCTGGGAATCAAACCCGGGTCCTCTGGAAGAACAGCTCTTAATCATTCAGTCATCTCTCCAGGCCCAACTGAATATTAAGCAAATCAAGCAATTCTGGAAAGTACATAGTGTGACAAAAGAAAAGAATAGGAACAGGGCCTTTCCAGAAACTTCCTTAGTATTCACGCCCCTGAGAGCTCACAGATTCAAGGAGGTTGAAGCACTTTCCTTTTCTGAGTGAAGGCCACATGCTCTAGAGTTCTGGGAACTGCTGAGATGAGAAAACACTATCCGAGTGCTTTCCCCGCCCAGTGTCTGCATCTTGCATGTTAGGTTAGAGCATTTTAAGGACTGCTAAAGTCCCGCTGTGAGCCTGTGGGAAGAGCTTGCATCTGGAAGGGTTTGCATCAGCCCACAGCTCTGTCATTATTAGCAGTGTGAACTTAGTCAGCCCTCATGTTTCAGTAGTTCATTTTATTAATTCATGGGGATAATAGCAGCTACTCTAAAGGTTTATGCTTAGAATTCAGTGAGTAGCATACGTGAGTGTCTGCTGGTACTTAATATTTCTTAGCACTTTGGTGATGTTATTTCTATACTCTGTTAATACAGATGAGTTTCATCATTTCCATCCCCAAACCTAACATGAGTATGCAACAGCTGGTACCTTCCTTCTTCCTAAATGGTGTTGACTCAGAGGACTGCATGGCGTAGTACTGCACACATCATGTGGGTCTCTGCATATCAAACTAACTGGATCTGTGTCCTCTATAGTGAATGCTGGAGATATTTCCACAAAGGCTTACTTGTCTATATTTGTTAGGGCCTTGAAGGTACAAAAGCCTGGATCCCCCTGGGAAGAGGCCAGCTGACCTTGGACAAACCTTTCACCCTCTCTGGTGTTCAGTTTCCCCATCCACATCAAACAGCCCTCCGGGGGACATTCCCATGTAAAGTCTCGGATGTTCTTTGCTCGGTGCCCACTAAGCACCTTTCATGGTCAAGTGGAAATCACCAAGACCCTGGGAGGGGAGGAGAAACGGGAGGGGAGAGTACTTGCCCAACCGGGCTGACTCAAAACAGGAAGAGGAAGTGACTGTGGTTCTTAGTAGGCGTGCGGCCTGCCCCTCACCACTGTGTTTCTTTCAGGTCAGCCTTGAATAAATTTAGTCTGGGGATGGCTTTCTAAGTCAGAGCCGAGCTTAAGTGATTCTTCCATGTCTCATCAGTTGTAGAAAGAAATGGCCCAACAGTCAAAGGCTATCACATCACTGTGCTCCTCATGCCTACTCTTCTTGCTGTCTTTCCCCTTGACTAGTGAAGCGTCCTTACCACCCTCAAACAGTGATTCGTAATAAATAAAATATAACTGAAAAACAACGGCATAGAAGATGGAAGCACAATTTTTACTTTTAGATTGAACAGATAAGAGAGCACCATGTCAGACTCTTGTTCGTGTTTCTAAAACCATACTCTTGATTTCTGTCTTCTTTTCTCTGTGGAAGAGAAACAAGCCAGCTCCCAGAATGCCCCGCGAACAATGCTTTGGGCAGCACTGATGCTCAAATCTTAATTGGTATTATAAAAAACCCAGAGCCAGACATTGGGGTCACTGCTGAAAGATCAGAGAGACAAAGGAACAAGACACAGCCACCCCTCACCTCTAGGACTCCTCAGCCTGAAAAGGGCTTTTTAGTTCCTGTCTCCTCATGCCTTCTATACCTTTCTCCACCCAGCCATATCCTTCTTAGTGCTGGGATTAAAAGTGTGTGTGCTTCCCAAGCAAAGGCATGAGATCTCAAGTGCTGGGATTAAAGTTGTGTGCCACCACTGCCTGGCTGTTTCTCTCCTCGACTGAGTCAATCTCATGTAGTCCACAGTGGCTTTAAACCCAGAGATCCAGACAGATCTCTGCCTCCCGAGTGCTAAGATTAAGGGTGTGTGCCACCACTGCCTGGCATCTATGTTTAATCTAGTGGCTTGTTCTATTCTCTGATCTTCAGGCAAAGTTTCTTAGGGTACACAATATATCACCACGCAGCACTACACTGGACAAGGCCTTCCTGTGCTTCCTGAAGCCTTTAGATTAGGTCTCACTGAGAAATAGCTATAAGTATCTGCCTCAGCAGCTTACCTGATTTCTGTGTCCTACCATTTTACACAAAGTAGAAATGAAGAATTAACACAGTACCAGAGTACTAAAATAGAAGCCCAGAGGTCCAGGGATGGGTGCCAGATCTGCTCTGCCAGTATTCAGGGCATTAAAGAGAATAATTTCACCACTCTCCCTCTGTTTACCCATGTGACTGGAGATATCAATACTTGCCCTCCTTACCTCACAGGGGTACTGTAAAGAACCATAGCTATAACATGAGAATAAAGGGCAACATTTATTAATAGATGATAATGTGGTTCTGATAGCACAGAAAAGATATTCATTCTTGATTTTAACAATTTGTCTAAGGATATAGACATACTATAGA